AAGATGAAAATACTTTTATTGATAATATTATAAAACAAAATTTTCCCGAAGATATGCAAGTAGTTAATGAGGATTTGAAATTTATAAAAAAATATGTTCCAAAAAATAAGAAAAATAATAATAATATTATTATTGAAGTGTCTGCAGAAGTCTTTAATCACTTGATAGGTAAGGGTCGTCTTTTTTCTGGCTGGGAAAGTTACCGCTTATATGAACATGTAAGTGTGCTTCGGTGTTTTAAATGTTGGAGATATCACCACAAGGCGTCCAACTGTTCTTCACAGGTCGAAGTATGCCCAGAATGCGGAGGAGACCATAAAAGTGCAGACTGCAATTCTTCTGTGAAACAATGTGTAAATTGTAAATATGCCCGTGACGTGTTAAAAATTCCAGGCATAAGTATTGATCATTCAGTACATGATAGAGAATGTATATCGTACAAAAGAGCCGTGGAACAAAGTAAGTCAAAAGTCAAATATATATAGCAAATACCGATTAAAGCTAGTACTAGTACACAAGATGAATTAATTATAGGTGGTAATATACAAGGCTTAACGTCACACATAGAGGAGCTCCGATCATTTGTTTCTGAAAGAGATCCATTGGTAATTACTATGACAGAAACTCATGTTACATCTGAAATAGATGACAGTGAAGTATGTATCGAAGGATATAATCATGTTTTAGTGGAATCAGACAGTCGACACACTGGAGGCTGCATAGTGTATATTAAAGATAATATAAATTATATCATAGTTCAAAAAACAGCCGTAAGATTGAATTATTGGTCTTTATTGCTGAAAATAAATAATAATGGCAAAACTATAGTCTTAGGATCTGTTTACCGTTCACCAAGTGGCAGCACGGATGACTTTTGGAGATTCCTTGATGACCTTCTCAAATGTGATATGATAAATAATAATGAAGCATATATAATGGGAGATTTCAATATCGACTATTTGAGTGATGCGGGGTTGTCCAAAAAGTTTAAAAACATGATCAAAGATGCAGGTTTCACTCAAATCATCAAATTTCCTACGAGAGTGACAAGAAATACATCCACACTTCTTGACTGGGTTATAACCAATAATTTTTGTGTGTCCGAAATATCTAGGGATTTTCCGCAATTATCAGATCACGATATGGTGGGTTTTCAAATAAGTGGCGTTAAAAAAATATCTCTGCAGAATATAAGTACAAGCGTAGAATAAACTCAAATAACATAGATGCTTTAAGATTGGATTTAATAGGTAAATATTGGGGAGCTTCATCAAATGACATTAACATTGTCTACAAAAATTTCATCACAAATATAGCAAACAGTATTGATAGAATATGTCCTGTAGAGAAAATAGTTTGTAGACCCTCAGTTCCATGGACCAATAAAAAAATCAAGGATGCTCAGAAAGTACGTGATATTGCCTACAAAAAATTTAAAATTACAAAAGATGGAGGGGACTGGGAGAACTATAAGAGAAGAAGAAACCAACTAACAACTATTATCAGAAATGAAAAGAAACTATATTATGAAAGTAAAATTGATCATTCTAAATATGACAGCAAAAAAATGTGGAAAACGATGAAAGAGTTATTAGGCCAGAGTGATAAAACCCTACAAGTTGAAAAGATATCTTTTGATGGATACAACGGCAGTCCAGTGGAGAATTTTAATAACTATTACAGTGATAGTATAAAAAACATTGCAGAAGGAATAGAAGAGAAAGTACTTCCAGCGTTATCGGACCAAATTCGTGTTAGTGAGGACTATTTAGTTTGCTTCAATAAAATTAGCTTCAATAGGTTAAGCAAAATTGTGCTCTCCTTGAAGAATAAAGGGTCAGGGGACGAATATCTCACTGTGTCACTGTTAAAAGATCTGTTTTGTGTGATAGGGTATCCTCTTTTAAATGTAATAAATTTAGTTTTAGAAAAAGGACAGATACCTGTAGAATTAAAAACAAGTGTTATTGTACCTATAGCCAAAGTGCCCGCGCCCACACGTCCGGAAGAGTGTCGACCTATAAACCTTCTGCCAGTAGTTGACAAAATAATTGAAATTGTCATGAGGGATCAACTCAAAACTTTTTTTGAAAGAAACAAACTTTTATATGCAGGTCAATCGGGGTTTAGAGATGGACACTCTTGTGAGACGGCTATTCAGTTTGTTTGTTCACAATGGCGGAAAGAAATTAATGACGGCAATGTGGTTCTTAGCGTTTTCATTGATTTAAAGCGTGCATTTGAGACGATAAATCGTAGTTTGTTAATCAAAAAATTGAAATCATATGGAGTACGTGAAGCAGCTTTGAATCTGATCAGTAATTATTTAAGCAATCGTTACCATTTAACAAAATTGGGCAATATAAAATCTAATAAAATAGCCAGTGATTATGGTGTACCTCAGGGTAGTGTTTTGGGCCCATTGCTGTTCATAATTTACATTAATGACTTATACAGTGTATGTAAAAACTCTCTGGTCAATCTTTTTGCTGATGATACAGTAATATCTGTAGCTGGAAGTGATTTTAATGTGATATCTGACACCATGAATGTTGAGCTGGGCATTCTGTATGACTGGTTGTGTGCAAACAAGTTAAAACTCAATGCTAGTAAAACTAAATATATGTTATTTGGTTCTAAAACTAACTGTGCAAGATGCCTATCTAGTAATCTTGAAATTAGTATTAACAGGGAGCCTATAGAGTATGTGAAAGAGATTAAATATCTGGGCGTTATTTTGGACGCTCAATTGACCTTTGCCAGTCACGCAGAATACTTATGCAAAAAATTGGGGAAAAAGGTTGGTTTTTTTAGACGTATTTCTTTGAATTTGTCACAGTGGTCGAAAATGTTGATTTACAACACAATTGTGTACCCCCACTTCACCTACTGTATATCACTTCTGCTTGCATGTCCCAAGGAGCAAATATGTAGATTACAAATACTGCAAAATAAATGTATGAGAATAGTTTTGGGTTGCAACAGGTATACTGCCATAAGTAGAATGATGGAACAATTGAAGTGGCTATCAGTTGAGCAGGGTATTAGAAGGGCGAACATGTTATTTGTTTATAAGATTGTAAATAAAAAAGTTCCAGAATATTTGTGGAAAATGGTTGTCACCAGATTCGAAATTCACTCGCGAATGTTACGTTCAAAAACTGATTTAAATGTTCAGTTTGTTAATAGAAACTTTTTGCAAGGCTCACTATTTTCTGAAGGCATTCGCCTTTATAATGCCTTGCCCGACGAAATTAAGAATGTAAATACAATTGGTTTATTCAATAAACGTTTATGTGATTATTTGAGAGGCGAATAATTAACTTTAAATTAAATTAACTTATTATAAATTGTTATATTATATATTGTTATGTTTGTTTACTAGCTTTTGCTAAATAAAGATTTACTTACTTACTTACTTACTGCAAGGTCCACCTATTTTGCATTGGTGCAATCTCATTTGCAATACGGCATTAGTATCTGGGGCTCATGCAGCGAGTACCTCTTCAATTCAATTTTTGTGCTGTAGGAAAGAGCAGTGCGTTACTTGTGCAGCGTCTCGCCATCGGAATCTAGAAGGCCGCTGTTTCTTTCTCGTAGGATTCTGACGTTTCAAAAACGCCTTAATACGAACGCTTAAAAACGAAAAAGGACGTTTTTCAAAGATCTCTATGAACATTCAGTGAACTTCCTTCAAAGTATCCAACACCATCCAATAGACTTCTTTTATAGGTAGTGCAAATATCACATTTACAAACAACCTTTCAAAAACGTCTTATCCGAATTAATTTCCGAGTGTGTGGACGTGGGATACATGTTTCCAATGGTGTTCCCGAAAATAAACAACAGTAACCTTTAAATAAAACGTCTCTCATGACTTTTCATGAAAACATACCTACCTACTTTTACGAACTTATAGAAAACATTCTAACGTTCTTTAATTGTTCCTAACCTTATTCCTAACAGAGGTTTTAAAAACAACTTAATCAAACGTCTAAAAAACATCCTTTCTTTACCTTTTTAGAAACACTCGGACATGGACATTACCACGTGCAGAAACAGTAGTTTGCAAAACTTTTCTCTCAGAACTTATGCTTATAGAAAATATGTAGCCCAAAAACGGCGAAACTTTGCATGAGAGTAAATATGGTCAAATAGCTTCCAAATGACTCCAACTATCATTCATTAAATCTTCCTAAACACCCTGTAAAATTGGTTCGCTGTTCGATTTATATTTCTTAATCTTTTTTAAGTCGTTGTTTTCATTTTCTATTTTAGCTATTTATGTACCAAGGTGATTATGTAGATTATAATGCCCGAAGGCGAAACTAGCCCGAGGGCCTATGGCCCGAGGGATATATTTCGCCTGAAGGGCATTATAATCTTGAAATCCCCGTGGTGCATACAATGCTTTATTTTCTACTCAACACAATGTTTTTTCATCAATTTGTTATTAACAAAATCAGTTAAACTTATGTGACAGAATATTGTTTTGTATTTTGACATGTACCTGTACCTGTGACCTGTACCTGTACCTGCGACCTGTACATAGAAACGAAATAAATTAATATATCTATAAACATCTCATAAGGCAAGGCAACGGTGGTGGTCCTGTGGGTTAACGCGCTGGACTACATGGGAAACATTGATGGTAGACCGGGTTCGAATCCTGGCTAGACCGAAAATTATTTTCGGTCAGACATTTAGTGGCTGCCTAGGGTAAAGTGCAAATTAATAGAACAACAACAACAAAAACACCTTAAGGTATTATAAGCGGGCGTTATAGATCATAACGCCCGCAAAAGCGGGCGTTATGGATCAGGTTGTTATAGGTGTGTTAAGGTATTTCGTTTGCTAGGTATTATGGATCTATAATAGTAAAGTAGAAAATAAAATGTTTTTTGTTATTGTATGGTATGAATTTGCCGCCCCTGGATCGTGCCGCCCTGGGCGGCCGCCCATCTCGCCCCCTGCCGGCCCTGGAAAGTCAATATACATATCAACCATATATGACAAGACCCAAGACCCCCCAAACAAATGAAACATAACCTCAAACAAAAAACGTCCATCACACACACAGCTGATGAAATGTAAATATAAATTTTTAAATTAATAAAAAGCAATTAAATTAGTATCCAATCTTCTGGCAACAAGTAAGAACCAATTATTAAACAATTTCGAATAACTATGGCAAGTTTACATATAAAATCATTGTTTCTGAACATGGGCAAAACTGTCCCCAAAAATTTTGAGCGCTTCAACAGCAGCACAGCCCGAAAGCTGCTCTACACCGAATACGGTGACCCCCTCGAAGTAGTAAAACTAGTACCAGCTGAGCTAAAAGAACCCCAATCAGACGAAGTACTAATCCAGCTAATAGCAGCTCCAGTTAATCCTGCTGACATAAACACCATCCAAGGAAAGTACCCTTCGAAGCCCCCTTTGCCAGCAGTACCAGGCAATGAAGGCGTAGGCAAAATAATTCGGGTTGGAGCAAATGCCAGCAAAGAATTCGCAGAGGGGGACCGAGTAATACCCCTAAGCTCAAATTTGGGCACTTGGCAGACTCATTTACTACTGCCCAAAGATTGCGTATTGAAATTACCCAGAAAAGTGCAAACAGCTCAGGCTGCCACTTTAACAGTAAATCCTTGCACCGCTTTTAGGATGCTCAGAGATTTTGCTGACTTACAACCAGGCGACACTGTACGTACACCTAAAAATGTTTTACATTAAATTAATTTACTATTTCTAGGTTATACAAAATGGGGCTAATTCTGCTTGTGGCCAGAATGTAATACAAATTTGCAGAGCTTGGGGCCTGCGTAGCGTCAACATTGTCAGAAATAGGCCCAATATATCCGAACTAAAACAGTATCTCATTAAATTGGGTGCCAATTATGTGCTAACTGAAGAGGAACTACGCACAAATGATTTGTTTAAGAGTGGCCTGTTACATAAGCCCAAATTAGCATTGAACTGTGTGGGCGGTAAAAATGCTCTGGAATGTTTGAGGCATTTAGATAATGGCAGTACAATGGTTACATATGGAGGCATGTCGCGAGAGCCTTTAAGTATTCCCACAGCTGCTTTGATATTCAAGGATTTGAAATTTAAAGGTTTTTGGATGACCAGATGGACTAAGGACAATTTTAATAGTGTGGATAGATTCGAAATGCTTTCGGAATTGATATCAATGATGACTAGTAATGAGTTGGAAGCTCCGGCTCACATGATGATTAAGTTTGATGATTACAAGGAGGCTTTGAAGAATACTTTGAATATGCAAGGGATGATTGGGAAAAAGTTTATTTTGGATTTTGAATAAATATTATTTCTTGCTGTTAGCGAATTATTGGTTTAGGTATAATACAATTATAATTTAGTTTTGATTGTTCAAATCTTATTGTCGAAAAAGAAATATGTGTTTGTATTTTGTATTTTCGATAGTCAGAATAAATTCTTCCAAACAAAAAGCTCAGATCTCTGTGTTGAGAATAGCTCTGCTGTCGTCTTCATTTTACAATAGGTTATGGACCCAGAGTATGAAGATTAGTAAGATGAAATTGATGAAATTTCCACACTAAATAAATTCATTTCGATAATTGATTTTTTGGGTAAAGGAAACGACACATAGGAAATGCTGGTGTTAAGGCGAATTCTCACATTATTTTATGTAAAAAGTTCATCTGGAAATATGCACTGTAATACTACAGTACAGTGGCTCTGTAAGTACACCTAGCGCCATCTATCAATGTAGTAACTTCCAAGCTTTAATTGCTGATATTAATTAAAAGTAATTATTTGAGATGATAAAATATCACATAAACAAAACATCTAATTTAATAAATTATATTTTCAATTAATTATTGAATTAATAAATCAAATTAATTAAAATTTTTACTAAAAAAAATTACTAGTGGCGCCATCTATTGATCTACACACAAAAACATCAAACGTCAAAAACAAGTTGCTGTGTGTATAGGATGTGTGTGTGTGTGTTTATTTTTTGGTGCTCCAATATTTTAGTGTTAAATAATTAAAAAAACTAATTAAAATGTGTTTGTTATCGTGTAGATAGGTACGCTAATTGCAGTCGACAAAATGAACAAGTTACAGAACAGTAAGTGACCCCCCACATTCAATGAAATCAATTTTTTTTTCCCAAACTTTCCCCTCAATTAACCACATTATTTAATTAATTATTGTATAGGCACGTTAGTTATGCCAGTCTCAGACAAGGCTAAAGACTGGCAACTGGAAATTCTAATGGAAAAACTACGTTCCAAAGCCTCCCAAGTCAAATCTCTCCCAGAAATTTCAAAAAACGTTCGCATGACCTTATTGGTAAGTTACTATACCTAAAAGCCCTTTGAAATGAAACAACCCTTTTATTATAATATCTATAGGAAAAAAGGTACGCCCTAGACAGTGTAGATAAAGGCCAACATCAAAAATGCCTGGACACTTTACAGCACGTAATCAAAGTAACAGGCTTGCAAAGTATGATAGAACGCCTGGAAAGTCTCACCAGACAACTAGGTTTAAGATTTGTAGTCGAGCCTTCAGGAGTTTTCATTTTCTCTGACATGTTTTACTTGGAAATTATCCTGGAACAAACTGGTGCGGTCAAAGATGTCAAAATCCATCACGAAGGCAAAGTAGAACAACAAAGCTGCATGGAATTAGTCAATTGCCTTTCCAGGGGCGACTTTACTGATTTCACTATTCAGCTTGAAGGTTTTGTGTCAATATACCACCTCAATGCTGAAAAAAAAGTGAAATGCAAAGCTTTTACTGCCTTGGAATCGCTGGAAGCTGATTTGTGCACCTTGGCCCAGCTGCAAACGTTTTTAAAAGAACCATTTAACATTTTACATAAATCACCTGTGGGTGTTTTGGAAAAACGACGCGGAGGTCACCCAATGAAACTCACCTACTTTGTTTCACCTTATGATCTTTTAAACATAGAAAAACATGAAATTGATCCAATTAACATAGACACTGTCATTGCAAAAGGCCTAGGCTACTGTGTTACAGTTTGCATGGAAGGCTCAGCAACTCACAAACTACAAACTTCCACTTTGATTACGGTTAATAGAAGCATGAATGGAAAAAGCACCCCTACTTATACTCCAATAACAAGCCAAAATAGCGCAACTGTTCCAGCTTGTTTTACCCTTAAATTGAACAAACCCATGCCCATGTGTTTGTCGCTGATTAGGAAGATTCAGCAAATTCAACAATGGTCTGATGGTGATAATAATAGCGCTCCTCAGCCTTTGCTTAATTTGATTGTGAGTCATATTAGTGAAGGGAAGATGAGTTGCAGTAATAATAAAGGATTGTTTGTGGTAAGAAGGATTTTGTGTAATAATTATTTTAAATATAAATTTTGAATAATCATCAATAATAATTATAGAGCATTAGAGAGTTTCAATTGATTTAATTTTGGTTAGGATATAGGTAAGTATGTCACCAATTGAACATTTAAGAATTTGAAGTTTTTGCTATTGAGGTATTGAAAGGGATTGATTGATTGAGCCAACAATAAGTAGGTATATTGATTAAACATAATTTGAAGTTTGTAGTAAAGGTTCAAACCAAGGGGCAAACCACCTAGGAATTCTTTGCCAAAAATGTGAGGAATTTGTGGGAAATTTAGAGGAATTTGTGGGGAATTTAAAGGAACTCATCCGAATTTAGGGAATTTGGAGGAATTTATGGGGAATTTAGAGGAATTTGTGGGGAATTTAAAGGAACTCATCCGAATTTATGAGAATTTGGAGGAATTTAGGAGAATTTGAAAGGAATTTATGAGGAATTTAGAGGAAATTGTCAAATTTAGAAAATTCAAAAGAATAATGAATACAGTTTTTATAGGCTGACTTCCAAGATTTTTCACGTTATTTTCAACTGAAAAAATTTGAAATTTTGGGAAAATGAGCTTCTCACCTTCTTCTTTACATGAAAAAAGTTTCAAAATTTTCCCTTCACTAGTTTTCCAGGAAATCTTTGAAATGTGTGAGACTGTATTTTCAACTAATTCAGTTTTTGTAGGTTGATTTCCAATATTTGAATATTCCTCATGTTGCTGTTTTCTACTGAAAAAATTTTAAATTTTGGGAAAATGAACTTCTCACCTTCTTCTTTACATGCAAAAAGTTTCAAAATTTTCCCTTCACTAGTTTTCCAGGAAATCTTTGAAATGTGTGAGACTGTATTTTTAACTAATTCAGTTTTTGTAGATTGATTTCCAAGATTTTTCATGTTGCTGTTTTCCACTGGAAAAATTTGAAATTTTGGGAAAATGATATTCTCACCTTCCTCTTTATATGCAAAAAGTTTCAAAATTTTCCCTTCACTAGTTTTCCAGGAAATCTTTGAAATATGTGAGACTGTATTTTCAACTAATTCAGTTTTTGTAGGTTGATTTCCAATATTCCTCATGTTGCTGTTTTCCACTGAAAAAATTTTAAATTTTAGGAAAATGAGCTTCTCACCTTCTTCTTTACATGCAATAAGTTTCAAAATTTTTCCTTCGCTAGTTTTCCAGGAAAACTTTGAAATGTGTGAGACTGTATTTTCAACTAATTCAGTTTTTGTAGGTTGATTTCCAATATTCCTCATGTTGCTGTTTTCCACTAAAAAAATTTTAAATTTTAGGAAAATGAGCTTCTCACCATCTTGTTTACATGCAATAAGTTTCAAAATTTTTCCTTCGCTAGTTTTCCAGGAAAACTTTGAAATATGTGGGACTGTATATTCAATTAATTCAGTTATTGTAGGTTGATTTCCAATATTCCTAATGTCGCTATTTTCCACTGGAAAAATTTTAAATTTTGGGAAAATGAGCTTCTCACTTTCTTCTTTACATGCAATAAGTTTCATAATTTTCCCTTCACTAGTTTTCCAGGAAAACTTTGAAATGTGTGAGACTGTATTTTTAACTAATTCAGTTTTTGTAGATTGATTTCCAAGATTTTTCAAGTTGCTGTTTTCCACTGGAAAAATTTGAAATTTTGGGAAAATGATATTCTCACCTTCTTTACATGCAAAAAGTTCCAAAATTTTCCCTTCATTAGTTTTCCAGGAAAACTTTGAAATGTGTGACTGTATTTTCAACTAATTCAGTTTTTGTAGGTTGATTTCCAAGATTTTTCATGTTGCTGTTTTCCACTGAAAAAATTTTAAATTTTAGGAAAATGAGCTTCTCACCTTCTTTACATGCAAAAAGTTCCAAAATTTTCCCTTCATTAGTTTTCCAGGAAAACTTTGAAATGTGTGACTGTATTTTCAACTAATTCAGTTTTTGTAAGTTGATTTCCAAGATTTTTCATGTTGCTGTTTTCCTCTGGAAAAATTGAAATATTGGGAAAATGATGTTCTCACCTTCTTCTTTACATGCAAAAAGTTCCAAAATTTTCCCTTCACTAGTTTTCCAGGAAATCTTTGAAATGTGTGAGACTGTATTTTTAACTAATTCAGTTTTTGTAGATTGATTTCCAAGATTTTTCAAGTTGCTGTTTTCCACTGGAAAAATTTGAAATTTTGGGAAAATGAGCTACTCACCTTCCTCTTTACATGCAAAAAGTTTCAAAATTTTCCCTTCACTAGTTTTCTAGGAAATCTTTGAAATGTGTGAGACTGTATTTTCAACTAATTCAGTTTTTGTAGGATGATTTCCAATATTCCTCATGTTGCTGTTTTCCACTGAAAAAAATTTAAATTTTGAGAAAATGAGCTTCTCACCTTCTTCTTTAATCTTTATATACAAAAAGTTTCAAAATTTTCCATTCACTAGTTTTCCAAGAAAACTTTGAAATGTGTAAGACTGTATTTACAACTAATTCAATTTTTGTAGGTTGATTTCCAAGATTTTTCATGTTGCTGTTTTCCACTGGAAAAATTTTAAATTTTGGGAAAATGGTCATGTTCTCACCTACCTCTTCACATGCAAAAAGTTTCAAAGTTTCCTTTTTTTAGAGGAATTTGTGAGGTACCCATTTGGAGAAGATCGTGGTAGGGTATTTAAAGGAATTTGTGATGGAGTATCTGGAGAAATTTGTAGGAATTTTGAGGAATTATGCGTAAATAATTCCCCTTTGAGGAATTGTTTGCACCAATTTTGGGATGGTGGTTCACCCCTTGGTTTAAACATTGGAAATTGAAAAATTATAAAGATTTTCAATAAAGGTTGGTATTTAATAAAACCATTTCGAAAGATGAGTGAAATACATATACAGGTTTTGTCTTTGCTCATAAAGGAGTGAGACGATTTTCTAGGGAGAAAATAGGTAATTTGATGACCAAAATACAAAAAAAAAACCCGCTGCTCTATTATTATTGATGAAAATTTATATTTAGTAATAGGTTTTGGAGGACTCACAGGAATTCATCCCAAATTCCTTGAAAACTATCATCTTTTATAAAATTTGGTTAATTTTGATGCATAAAAAATGATTTTTGCAGATTTTAATCATTTTCGCATGCATTAACTCATTAATTCAAAATCTCCTCATTTTTATATCGGGTCTTCAAAAAAAAATACAATTAAAGACTGCTATGGATTTTTAAGCATATGTCGTTACCTCAAAAAGTCTTCACTTCAAGTAGCAAATATTTACTTATATTTTAGACTTTACCCGACCAAACCCATTGTTACTGCATGACAGAAAACCGAAACATGAACAGCATATTTGTCAGCAGCATACCGTTCACGCATCCAGCTCACGTTGCCAATATTTTGATGATTCTTAGAGAACAGGCCATGTTCAATACGATTATTGGCAGTTGCGTGAGACCTAACAGCCGTCAAAGTAGGAATAATTTTCATATAAGTAATTAGTATTCTTAAAAACATTCTATAGGTTTTGACAATATGACGATGTTTGAAGTAAGTGCCCTTTCCTCAACACAAATATCCATATCCTTGGAACATCCTCTAGAAGAATGCATGGCAACTGCCGACTTTGATTTATCAGACATTTCGAATTTGGTGTGCCGTATACAAAACCCTGGCACACCTTCTCCCAACAACACTCCAGACATAGTTTCAGAACTAGCCACCAGAGTTTTAAATAAGACTTTCTCTATTCCCGTAAGACAATTATTTGATTAAAAGAATGTGTTTATAATGAGTTAGTTTGTTTATAGGTAACGTTACGTGCAGTTATAAAACTGTGGGAAAGACAAGCGAGCCAACCAAATTTGTACCCAGGTCAGGAAAATTTTAGTTTGCCCCTCGGTTCCGTCGATCCCGGAGGTCACAAGGGCCCCAGCACTAGCGGCAATGGAGGCTTAGCGGAATTCGGGGGGCTTCAGGACAAGATCAAACAGGAACCCAACACTATGAACAATGGCACGCACCAGCTAGTGTTGCAGGAACCGCACTGGAACGAATCGATGATGTCGTCGAATTTTCCAAACATCCCACCTTCCGATGATGTGTCAGCCGCTGGCGGCAAACGACAACAGAAACGGAAGGCCACCGAAGATTTGTGGAAGAGTGGCAAGCGGAAGGTGGGAACAAGCGCAGAAGACTCGGAACTCGTGGAAACGTCCAGCTGCGACTCGACGTCGCAGAGCACACCTATTTCGCAGGAAACTGAAATTGTTACGCCTAATTCAGGGTCGCAATCGGATTTGGAACTGTCTAATGTTGATTCGTCTGATTTTTTAGCCAATATTGACAAGGGTTCGGATTTTACTTCGGAAACGGTGGATATGGATGAGATTTTGTCCAGTGGTCCAAGGAAAACGCCTTTGGAACCTTCACCGAGTAGTTGCTCGAGTATTATATCGGATTTGAGTGAAAAAAATATGGGTAATTTTTATTACTACTATCAATTCAGGCTTTAGAATAGGTACCAGAGTTCTATAAGAATAATAACTTGTCAATTAAAGTTTTCCAAAATAATCTTAGCACATACATAATATACACAGGGTGTTACAAATTTGCGAGTAAGTATATGAAGATCTCGGTAATTATTAGAGATACAAGGTAGGGTGGTTGGGCTGGGACTCTGTAACTGATAAAAATCGTTATCCCTATCGCTATGGCACTTGCTGTCTTCTTCTCTCTTTGCGGAATCAATAGAGAGGGACGTCAATAGAGATCGAGAAAAGTATCTCTATTTGTTACAGCGTTTCAACCCTGCCTTCTTACTAAAACGATAAAATTTCATTTTTTTTTTGTTGAGATTTTGTGTCCTAATGGTCATTTGTGATCCCCTAAACTCCATACACTAAATTATTCTCAGATTTGAAGCCGAAATCTATGAAAAAAGGCAAATGGGTTGAAATTATGTTGAAATCCTATAACCAACTCTCTTCAATTAAAATTATGAAATTTCAGTTTTTTTTTTTATATTAAGATTTTGTATCTAAATGATCATTGGGGACCCCAAAACTACATACACTCAACTCAACTACTCTGAGGTTTGAAGCTGAAATCTATGAAGAAAGACACTCAGAAAATTGATAAATTCATCCCAAATTGCTTAACACGATTTTATCTCAGGAACTATAAGTCCAAATGGGTTGAAATTTTCAGGGATTGTAGTCCTCTACTGGGATAAGAATCGCTGAAAATTTCAGCTTTCTATTTTTAATAGAAAAAAAGTTATTACCTTTCAAAGTTTTCCAAAATCTAAATCATAAGGTTCCATAAAATCTTCTTAACTAAAACGATGAAATTTCAATTCTTTTGTTGTTGAGATTTTATGTCCTAATAGTCCTTTGGTATTCCCCAAACTCCATAGACTAAATTATTCTGAGATTTGGAGCCGGATTCTATGAAAAAAGGCATTCAGAAAATTGAAAAATTGATAATTTCACCCCAAATTGCTTAACACGATTTTATTTCTGAAGCTATAAATTTAAATAAGCTGAAATTTTCAGGGACTGTAGTCATCCACTGGGGTAAGAATCGCTGAAAATTTCAGCTTTCTATCTATAATAGACAAAAAAGTTATGGGTCTTCAAAGTCAAATGATGGAATTTCTTATGTCATTTTAATTTTTATTCTATTCCAGTCCCTCCAAATGTAAGTATAACCCCAATATCATCGTCTGCGTCTCCCACTTACAACCAACAAGAAAAACGCACAGGAGGCATCGAAATCATCCCAATACCTCAACCAACAACAGCGCCGCCTACTATGATGGCTACTTCGATAACCATCACTCCAATCACACCCAAACCACCTTCGGAAGAAAGAAGAGAGAAAAAAAGCAGTAGAAGTAACCGCGAAGACAAAGAGAAAAAGAAAAAACGAAAACGGGATGAAAGCCCTATGGGCCCGCCCGAAAAAGTGCCTCCCAAGTTAGACGCTTTGTCCAAGCCCGTTTCTGTCAGCATCAAGCCCGCTGAGAGTCCACCAACCTCTCCCAGTATGATGAGAAAATTTAGCGCGTCGCCTACAAACAGACCAATGTCGCTTTCAGGCAAACTAAGCCCAAGTTTACTGAAACCAAAATCGAGTCCCAGTCCAAAAAACTCTCCGGCTCATATCCCATCCAGTCCCAAGCACACAATTGGGATTTCTAGCCCTAAACATCATGGCACTAGTCCGAAACATCCTTCGGCTAGCGGCAGTGGGAAACCGAGCATGTCTACATTGAAAAATGCCGCTAATTCACCTTCAAGTAAAACTTCAGCTGAAAAAAAACCTAAGGAAAGTTCCAGAGATAAAGATAAAAATAGGAGCAGCATTTTTGCTTCTGGCAGTAGTAAATCCAAATCGGCCTCCTTAAAAGTGAAACCTTTAGATTTAAATATTAGCAGTTGTGAGGGGGTGACTCAAGAATCCCTTCCATCACCCAGTGGTGACTCTAAAACCAATCCGAACATTTTACGAAATCGCAAAGGGTCCCTTTCAGCCATAGTGGATAAATTAAATATTAAAGTCAACGCTCAGCACAGTGACGTGCCAACAGATTTAAGCTCCAAGTGTAGCAGTAAAGTGCCTAGCAGCAAAGATGGTAAAAGTAAAACTACAACCGACCCAAAAAACTCAGAATACATGGTCAAAACTAGTTCCGATGGTATGAAACTTACCATAAACAAACCTAGAACAAAAGAGAATAAATCTAGCAGTAGTTCAAACGCGCAACCAAGCAATAGCCCTTCCAAACCTCCTCAAACCTTGCCTAAAGTCCACACAGGCCTCAAACCAGGAGTAAACAGCGGACCTGCTTCAAAAAAACCTCAGCAACTCCAAAAAACTAATTTGCCCAATTCCACAATCACCTATAATCCCAGTATCAAAAGCAAATCCCCTACAAAAGTACCTGGAAGCTATCCCAAATCAATTTCCAAGCCAACTACTTCACCTAAAACAACCAGTGCCACAGACTTGAGCCGCAACAAAGACAGACCAAAACCAAGCAAAAGCTCATCAGAAAAATCTATTTTTGCTTCACTAAAAGACCGCTCTAAAGGCAGTCCCACACAAAACGATTCCGATTTGTATAAAATTCCACCCAAAGTAGACCCGTACACTTCTGCCCTAATGATGGAAGGCATGATGAAGACTTTGGACAAAAATTTTCAAATTCCCAAGCTTTCGGATAAAAAGAAAAACGAATTGAATAATGTCAATAGTAGGAGTACTGTTGATACGAAAATATTTGATATGATGGTGAAAAATGATATTAAGTATCCGTTAAGCATACCTGCCATGAACTCGCTGGATCAGAAAATAAGGAACAATATGAGCATGATTGGGGATGAGGAGAAGAAAAAGCAGGACGGGGTGCAGAATTTGTCTGGTAAGTCACTATACACTTAATACTGGGTCTATTTTTTTTTTTTAGTTTTTTTTTTTAGTTTATTAATTTGTTTTTTCAGGATCCTCAAATTGAAAATAGGTTGTTGCCACAAAATCCGTTTTAATTGTGATAGTAAAAGGTAGTGTAAGTATTTAGATTTTAAAATCGCTACTAACAGCCTGTAGAATTTGAGTATATTTACTAACACAACTAATATTTTTGTTTTTGTCCGTAATGGGGAATTTTTCTATGGGTAGTTTTAAATAAATATACTTTTTCATTTTTGATTTTGATTATCAGCGGTTCTTGATTATATTCCTTTGGCGAAACATAATCAATGGCTTTTATTTTTGGAACAAGTTAACTCAATCAGGGGCCAGGAATATTTCAAATGATGAAAATTCATTATTTTTCTATTCTCGGCTCTTGTTAAAGGGTTAACTCTAATGTTTGAATTAAATCAAATACCTAAGGCTAAAGTTGAGTTTGCATAACAGAAGTTTCCATCTTCTGCGATTGGGCAGTATTATAGTGATGTACAGGGTGCTGAAATTTGAAGTTTTTTAACAGGAAAAACATACTTCCAGACAGAGCTGTCAATATTTGAAGTAAATTATTTGAAATTCTACTTCAAGTAGGTACATATAAGTACTTTAGGTATTTTACTTGAATTACTTTTTTTGTTATGTACTTGTATAATACTTGGATTTTTACTTGATTATGTCAAGTATTTTGCTTGAAGTATTTTGAGTACATACTAATATAGGTTATAAGTTTCTTGATTTTCTTTAAAAAATTATTATATCTTCCATGTATAGTATACTAGACATTCTATTCTGTAATCCTAGTAATACATTATCCATCACTCTTTGTAAGGTTGCTGGTGCGTTATTTAACACCAAGGGTATTTTGTTAAATTCGTAAAGACCATTTTCAACATTAAATGGTGTCTTGGATATCGAATTTTCATGCATTTTGACTCGATGAAAGCCAGAGGCTAAATCCAGTGTCGTAAAATAATTACTACGACTAATGATCTGATTATGTTATCTTCTAACATTTTGTTTATTTGAGAATTTACTTCTTGTTTAGTTTATGCACATGTGGATATCTATATGTTTTCGTGTGCACTGGTATTTCATCTGTTGTTTTAAACTCATGTTTAACTTGATTGGTTAATTTTTCATTTGGCTTGTAGAAAATTTTAGGAAAAGCTTTAATTACATGTTTTAAAACATCAAATTCCTTTGAGTTTAAATGACTGATACGCAGTGACTTTATAGAGTCATTTGCATATTCATCATTTTGTCATTAAATATCCCAAACTGTTCATTAGCACAAGGTAAACTTACAGTGGCGTAACTAAGAACCCGCAGGGCCCACAGTTGCGGGGGGGGCCCGTGATCTTAGGGGCCCCAGACTAGGCGAAAGTACTAAACTGGTGACAAGAGTAGTACTAAACTGAAAAAAAATACTTTAACCTATGAACCTCATAATACATATCAACCATTGAAAAAGTATGTCTGGTTCAACCAATATAAGAGATCTCGGAGAGAAATGTACAGATATACTCACAGATGCAAAATTAACTGTCCGTTTCAAGTGATACCACTATTGCTATCTCCGAAACAGGAGTTATGAGGTCGGGTAAATTGAATAAAAATGGCAGATTTCAATATTCATTGGAGGTAAGTTCGTTGCCAATGTTTTATTTGTTCCCGAGATATAAAGTAAAATGCCTCTGAGGTAAAATGTAAACACAACTAGAAGCTGTGTGAAGATAACAATGACGCCATTTTATAAAGAAGAAAGAATCTTGGAACTTTCGCATTGAACACTTTTTTCTAAAGTTGATAGATTTTGAAATATTCATTAAATAAGTTTTAAATGTTTTTAACATTTCCCTTATATCTCGGAAACGTACAAAGATTTGACAACCCTGTGATCTTACCTTCAGTAAATACGGAAATTTGTCACCTATTTGTAATTTAACCGACTTCGTCCCTCTTACCGTTTCGTGGTAGTGATTTCCCTTAAAACGGACACCCTGTGCTGTATAAAGAAAAATTCAAAAGAATATATTATTTAAGATGGGCTCCGGGAAAATCCTTGCGGGGGGGGGGGTCCGAATTTGAAGTTACGCCACTGAAACTTATGTTCGACAAATTAATAATATTATACGAGAGAATGAGAATAATAGGCATATTCATTAAGTTGTGTACTTCTAAAGGCACCATCTCATTCATGACTGTTGTTATTGTCGAGGGAATATATGTTTCATTTTTTATTGAAGGTGTAAGAATTTCAACAAAAATCGCCCCTGTACCAATGGTACTATTGAAGAGCCCAAGGCTCAGCACTTGGACCTTTAGAGTACCTTCTATAATATATCTAAAGTCTGAATTATGCTGGATTGAGGGGTAAATATGTGAAATTTTGTGATGATACTGTCTTCAAATATCGTGAAGAAAATGGAAAAGAACTTGAAAATATTGCGAATGAAGATCTCTCCTATAATAAACTTAGTATAAATGTTGAAAAGACAGTCTATATAGTCCTACATCAGGTGGGAAAAAGCAGTGACGTAACTTCATATCCGAGCCCCCCCGCAAAGATTTTCCCGGGGCCCATCTTAAATAATTTATTCTTTTGAATCTTTATTTTACAGGGTTACCACTACCACGAAACGGTAAGAGGGACGAGGTCAGTTAAATTACAAAAAAGTGGCAAATTTCAGTATTCATTGAAGGTAAATTCACAGGGTTGCCAAATCTTTGTACGTTTCCGAGATATAAGGGAAATGTTGAAAACATTTAAAACTTATTTAATGAATATTTCAAAATCTATCAATTTTAGAAAAAAGTGTTCAATCCAAAAATTCCAAGATTCTTTCTTCTCTATAAAATGGCGTCATTGTTATCTTTACACAGCTTCTAGTTGTGTTTACATTTTATCTCAGAGGCATTTCACTTTATATCTGGGAAACAAATAAAAAATTGGCAACGTTGTGAACTTACCTCCAATGGATATTGAAATTTGCCATTTACCCGACCTTATATCTCCTGTTTTGGAGATAGCAATAGTGGTATCACTTGAAACGGACAGTTAATTTTGCATCTGTGAGTATATCTGTACATTTCTCTTTGAGATCTCTTACATTGGTTAAACCAGACATACTTTTTCAATGGTTGATATGTATTATGAGGTTCATAGGTTAAAGTATTTTCTTTCAGTTTAGTACTACTTTTGTCACCAGTTTAGTACTTTCGCCTAGTCTGGGGCCCCCCGCAACTGCGGGCCCTTAGTTACGCCACTGGGAAAAAGAACAATAAGCTCAACAATTAAAATTAATGGCAAAATTTTCAATTGACAAACTGACATGGAGAGCACACATTGAAAGTATTCATGCAAAAATGTCTCCATTCTTGGGAGCTGTAGACATAAAATATGTTAAATAAAAACTCAAAATATTTAATCTATATGAAAATTCGATAGCCAACACAGCATTTAATGTTGAAAATGGTCCTTACAAATTTAACAGAATACCCATTGAATTAAAGAACGCACCAGCAACCTTCCAAAGAGTGATAGATAATGTATTACTAGGATAACAGAATAGAATATGTCTAGTATACATGGATGATATAATAATTTTTTCATGAACATCGAGCCACACATCTAATTTTCACTATCTGATCTGCTCAGGAAGTATATTTTTCCTGTTGAAACACTCCAAATTACACCAACTGTTTTAAAATCAATTGTGTGAATTTAAAAACTTCCCATCAGCCTTACAACAAAGACAATAATCCATTTCTCATTTATAGCTAACGACGATCTGTTCCTTTCCACGGACCCACTCAACCCTTATCCCTCGGCCAGCGAAGCCCTGCACAGTCTCACTTTGGCCTCGAAGTACGCGCCTACAACGACAATCGACACCGAAGCTTTGGATTTTAGTAAAACTCCGAATTTTCCACATTCGCCTGCGGTGAGCGTCCACATTGTGAACTCCAGAGCTTCGAGTCGAAGCTCCAGTTGTCTGGAAGAAGATATGATGGATGAAGGATTAATGACGTTGAGTAAATGATTCGATAACTGCCATTTTTGTTTTTACTTATTATTGACAGAGTTTTTAGTGTATTGTTAATATTGTCTTTCATTATTTTTGCACAAGTACAAAACCTTGTATTTCAAAATATATAAATTAAATCAATTTTTTGTACATATAGCTAATATAGTTAAAGTTATTATTTATAAAAATCTGGTTTTATTTACCAGTGTGCCCCTAAACGTTCTATTACGGTTTTTAAAAGTTCACTATGGCTGGCATATAAATCTAGATTTCTATCAATATCCATCCATTGAACTTGAGCTGCATCGTCTCCGGCTTCAAGAGCAAACTTGCCCACTTGACTATTGTCTGGATCGTGGAAATTTACAGCTACAGTTTCCATCCAGGCATTGTCAGTGTTTCTGGGATCGTCTACGTATCCTTTGTAGATTTCCGTGCCCTTTGAGAAAAAGGATTTTATCATTTGTTCATCGAGGCGTCTTTGATCTAGAAATTGTAAAACTAATTTCATATGAACGTCTTAACTTTTGAGATACAGAAGTTTTCAAAAATAAATCATTTACTCGGGTTGCCCTTGAGCCTACCAGAGGGGGAGCAAATAGTGCTACGCTTATTGATTTAATCTTATGTTCCCCAATATGGACCTGGTTTAGGGTTTTTAGGTTGATCTCACTTCCTGTCTGAGCTCATACCATCATTCTTATTGTCTCCCTGGCCTGTATAAATATGTTTAACTTTATTCATTACCTTTATACATATACTCTGCTATCTTTTCATTATATTTAATTTTTATAATGGGGTCATTTGGTATGGATATTTCTATAGGGAAGGCTAATTTTTTCTTTTGGAAAACGATGTTTGGTCTATTGCATGTTATTGTTTTATCAATGCGGATTTTTATGTCCCAATACAGTTTGGGTTAGTTCTCATTGGTATCTATCTATGATCACGGTTGGCGAGTTTTTTTGTAGTATGATGTTTCTTTAGTAATTTTCCCTGTTATATTGTATCTTTTGGTATATTCTGTACCTACTAAGATTTTACATCCACTAGTGATATGGCAAGGGGCAAACCACCTTGGAATTCTTTGCCAAACATGTGGGGAATTTAGAGGAATTTGTGGGGAATTTAAAGGAACTCATCCGAATTTATGAGAATTTAGGAAATTTATAGAGAATTTGGAAGAATTTATGGGGAATTTAGGAGAATTTATGAGGAATTTAGAGGAAATTGTCAAATTTAAAAAAATCAAAAGAATAATGAATACCTACAGTTTTTGTAGGCTGATTTCCAAGATTTTTCATGTTATTTTCAACTGAAAAAATTTGAAATTTTGGGAGAATGAGCTTCTCACCTTCCTCTTCACATGCAAAAAGTTTCAAAATTTTCCCTTCACTAGTTTTCCAGGAAAACTTTGGAATAGGACTGTATTTTCAATTAATTCAGTTATTGTAGGTTGATTTCCAATATTCCTCATGTTGCTATTTTCCACTGGAAAAATTTTAAATTTTGGGAAAATGAGCTTCTCACCTTCTTCTTTACATGCAAAAAGTTTCAAAATTTTCCCTTCACTAGTTTTCCAGGAAAACTTAAAAATGTGTGAGACTGTATTTTCAACTAATTCAGTTTTTGTAGGTTGATTTCCAAGATTTTTCATGTTGCTGTTTTCCACTGGAAAAATTTGAAATTTTGGGAACATGATGTTCCCACCTCTTTCCTCTTTACATGGAAAAAGTTTCACAATTTTCCTTTCACTAGTTTTCCAGGAAATTTTTGAAATGTGTGAGACTGTATTTTCAACTTATTCAGTTTTTGTAGGTTGATTTCCAATATTCCTCGTGTTGCTGTGTTCCACTGAAAAAAATTTAAATTTTGGGAAAATGAGCTTCTCACCTTCTTCTTTACATGCAAAAAGTTTCAAAATTTTCCCTTCACTAGTTTTCCAGGAAAACTTAAAAATGTGTGAGACTGTATTTTCAACTAATTCAGTTTTTGTAGGTTGATTTCCAAGATTTTTCATGTTGCTGTTTTCCACTGGAAAAATTTGAAATTTTGGGAACACGATGTTCTCACCTCTTTCCTCTTTACATGGAAAAAGTTTCAAAACTTTCCTTTCATTAGTTTTCCAGGAAATTTGTGAAATGTGTGAGACTGCATTTTCAACTTATTCAGTTTTTGTAGGTTGATTTCCAATATTCCTCATGTTGCTGTGTTCCACTGAAAAAATTTTAAATTTTGGGAAAATGAGCTTCTCACCTTCTTCTTTACATGCAAAAAGTTTCAAAATTTTCCCTTCACTAGTTTTCCAGGAAAACTTAAAAATGTGTGAGACTGTATTTTCAACTAATTCAGTTTTTGTAGGTTGATTTCCAAGATTTTTCATGTTGCTGTTTTCCACTGGAAAAATTTGAAATTTTGGGAACACGATGTTCTCACCTCTTTCCTCTTTACATGGAAAAAGTTTCAAAACTTTCCTTTCATTAGTTTTCCAGGAAATTTGTGAAATGTGTGAGACTGCATTTTCAACTTATTCAGTTTTTGTAGGTTGATTTCCAATATTCCTCATGTTGCTGTGTTCCACTGAAAAAATTTTAAATTTTGGGAAAATGAGCTTCTCACCTTCTTCTTTACATGCAAAAAGTTTCAAAATTTTTCCTTCACTAGTTTTCCAGGAAAACTTAAAAATGTGTGAGACTGTATTTTCAACTAATTCAGTTTTTGTAGGTTGATTTCCAAGATTTTTCATGTTGCTGTTTTCCACTGGAAAAATTTGAAATTTTGGGAAAATGATCATGTTCTCACCTTCCTCTTTACATGCAAAAAGTTTCAAAATTTCCTTTTTTTAGAGGAATTTGTGAGGTATTTGGAGAAGTTCGTGGTAGGGTATTTGGAGGAATTTGTAATGGAGTATCTGGAGGAATTTGCAGGAATTTTAAGGAATTATGCGTAAATAATTCCTCTTTGAGAAATTGTTTGCACCAGTTCTAGTATGGTGATTCACCTCTTGTGATATGGTCTATGGTTTCTTTGGATTGATGACATTTTCTGCATGTGTCAAAGTATAGGTTTGGGTTAGTTATATAACTATGCTTTGATCTTGTATTCCGAGGAGAGATCCTTCTGTTTCAAGGAAGAGGTTTTCATTTTTGAGCCAGTTATAAGAGTTCTTTTGAAATGTGTTCGTGTTGTATCTATGTTTCCCATATAGCTGTTATTTAAATACAGGGTGTCCTTAGATAAACTGACACATTTTGCAGGTAAATATTTCGAAAACGAGAAAAGATAATGAGATGCGGTTTTTTTCTGGGAGAATAAGAATTTTTTAAAGTTTTTTTTCATGGTATTGACAAATCCTGAAATTTGGTTTTACAGACATTCGATTTTTTGAAATAATTACATACTGCCTTATTCATCCTCAGAAACCTTGACTTATCTACTTTACAAAAATGTATAATTTTTTCAATTTTCTCGAAATTGGATCGTAAAAATTGCACTTTGTTGAAGAGTGTATCATCAACTGGCCAAAAAAAAAAAAAAATGATAATAATTAATTACCTAGTATTTTATATGCACTTGCATTATTAGTTTAATTGTGTTCAATACTTGTATTTTTAAGTTAATTATGCGCTAATTAGTTGATAAAAGTATCAAACACAAATTGTTTATCAATTTTTTTTTGGTTAGTCGATGGTATTCTCGAGGGTATCCTTTTCGACAAAATGCAATTTTCACGATGAAAGTTCAAGATAATTAAAAAAAAATTATACATTTTTGTAAAGTAGAAAAATTAGGCTTTCTGACGATGACAAAATATACAGGGTGTTTCATTAGAAATAAGGCAATCATTTTATTTCAAAAAATCGCATATCTGTAAAATCAAATTTCAGCACATTTTAGGATTCGGCTATAATGTGAAAAAAAACTTTAAAAAATCCTTATTCCCCCAGAACAAACCGCATCTCGTTATTTTTTCCCGTTTTCGAGATATTTACCTAAAAAATGATGTGTTTATCTAAGGACACCCTGTATATTAAAAAATGCCTCTTGATACATAGTACATGTTTCTGTCTCAAAATATGCCCTTGAAATTTTGTACATGATTTATTTTTGAAAACTTTATCGCTGAGATGTTTAGGACATATATTCATGTAAAGATTTCTTCTTAAAATACATCAAAAAATCACTCCCCTGAATAGTGACATTCAATTAAAAAACACCCAGTATAAAAGATAATATACCCGGAGTTGCTTCAAGACTATTCAGAGCCTCCTCCATAAATTCCCTCTTCAAAGTTTCACTAACTTGCTCTCCAGGATCAACCATACCACCTGGCAAGGCCCATTGGCCGCAATCTTTTCTTTTGATGGCACAAAACTGTAAAACAGCTCTTTGAACAATACATAAAAATATTTCAGAATATTGTTTGGAATTACTTATTCGTGTCTAATTTCCATCTAGTGACAATAGGGTCTGCGGCATGATTGGGGCCCCATTTACCTAAAACTCCTCTGCCTTTAAGACCAGTTCTACCTACGGGGTTCAAGGGTCTTCCTTCTATGATACGATAAGGGCCCAAATGGCTTTTGCGATTGATTTTATCGTCCAAATTGTTCCAGTTTGGTTTGAAATTTGTGTCGGCTATAAAAGGACTATTGAATATTAATTATAAAAATAATAATGTGAAATTACTTATTGGTGGATCAGCCCAAGGTTTGTTCAACAAAACACTGGATTCGTATTCAGGAGGATTGTAATCCTCAAATTGTACAGACCAGGGGATCAGATTCTGAGGGAAAATTAAGCGTTTTATTTCGGAGAATGGGTACGTTTCTGATCTACATTTTGAGTGCATTTTTTTAATTAATTGCATTTAATTAATTAGAAATTTTGGTGTATTTTCTAATCAACAAACAAATAAAAATTCAAGATATTGAAATGAGGTTATGTTTGTTTTGCTTTCACCTTTCACTAGACTACATATGAAAATTATCTAATAGATGGCGCTACAAGTCCATAAAAATTGCTCGAGTTATCTCTATCCTTTTTGTGTTTTTCGCAGATTAGCTATCGTTCTCTCTCACCCAAACCGAAAAGAATATGTTTACTGCAACTGACGTCTCAAGGACGAATTTTTGTTGTCCAAAAGAAGTGGAATCGCTGTTAGATGTCGACGTGTAAAATTCGCCTCGGGAAAATCGAAAAATAATGAAATTTTTATTAGTGAAATCGTTGATTAGGCTTACGCGGCTTAATTAATTGAACCAGCGCCATGGCACAATAACGTTTACATTTTTAAATCCGCACTGTGATACTTTTTAAGACTAGTTTTTAATGTACATAAAATGTTGGTGGGCAAATTGAGAATACACACTTGCAGGGTGATCCTGCTCACCTCCCTTGTATGGTTCCTGGTGGACGTGGTTATATTGAGTTTTTACTCGGAATGTTTGGGGGGCTCCTGTAAACAAGCCAAAAGCCCTGAGGCTCAGGCCCTAATTGACGAGGGCAAAGACTACGATCCTGCTTTTGGGGAGAACAAAATTGAAGAAATCGTAGAAGCCAGAAGGTAAGAAATTTGTTGTGTTGAGGTGGCTATAGATAGATTAGTATCACCTGCCTGTTATTTTGTGCTTTATGTTTACAAACACCAGGAAACTAATATCCAAGCAGCAAACATTATTGAATTTGTCCACATTAAGGCCAGGATATCAGCAATATTATTGTCACTGTTAACATACTCTACATCCAAGATCTTTTTTGATAACAAATCTTTAATAAAATGTCCTTTAATGTCAATATGTTTGCAATTTTCGTAACTCTTTACCATCGAAATCACACTCAAATTACCTAATTTTATAACATCACACTTTCAAGTTTGCCAAATTTCAAAATTATATTTTTTAATTCACTATTGTGTTGACGCTACCCCTGCCACATTCTCTGCTTCAGCTGTAGACGAGGCGATGGGTGAATAGCTCTTGCAGTCGGTGTACATATTCCTCACAATCTTCACACAATTACCCACAATCAGATCACAATCTGTCACAATCTCACACAATCTGTCACAATCGTTACATAATCACACACAATCTCTCACAATCGTGTCACAATCTCCCACAATCGTTTCACAATATCTCACAATCGTTACACAATCTCTCAGAATTGCTACACAATCTACCACCATCTGTCGCACGTGAGGTCCCTCCAAATAGTTTTATTTGCTTCATTTTTGCCCATAATAATAAGCCAATAAGCTTGTTTGATGAGTTTACTTTTGTATGCCACCTGCAGCACACATTTCTGATCTCTAATTGTTCTGAATAGGGAAATACTAAGGGGAATATCCATAAGCCCATCCTCAAAAATGTTTGGTTGCCATTGAGGTAGGTGGTTGCTGTGCGTGAAAGTTAAAAACGAGGTTAAAAAAGTTTAACTTGAAAACCAAAACGAATTCACCTCAGATGGCCTAAAAATCCAGACCTACACGTTGCAGGAAAAAAAAAAAGTAGGCAGAGGATGTTTACAAATTCACGAGTAAGTATATGGATCTGGATAACCATAAGAGATGCAGGTTCGGTTAAATTGGTTACGCAATTTCTTGCTGACCAAAATGCCGTTTCGAAATCTGGAAAATTTCGGATAGGTACTAAAAAAACGAAACCGTTTTTATTTTTTCCTGAGCTTATTTTTGAAGAGAAACTTCGAAATGAATTGCATTTCATCGATGGCACTTTTTCTTTTCTACAATATGGCTATCAAATTTGAAATCCGACGTTCGATCTTTGGGCCACCCCACCATCAACTTTATTTTTTTTGAATATGACTCTGGCATTTTGTGTAGTTCTTTGCTAGCTGACTTCTTCAATGGAATGGTGTATCAAAACAATCGATAAAATGAACATTTCGGTCAAAAAAGTATGATATAATTTGTATGGAGATACTCATTGATACAATTCACGAATTTACCCAATTAATATATTTTTTCTCCAAACGTCAAAAAAACGTCACTTTGTTAACCCCTGTCAAGATGTCAGAAATGTAATTTCTATGCTGCTAGGTGAATCCAGCGGGTTAACACCTGTCGAGGTGGTAGAAGTTTAATTTCTATGCTGCTTGGCAACCCCAGCGACAGCAAAAGTACTTTTAGTGCCGCTCGTACTTTTACTGCCGCTCAACCATCCACTTGCCCCTGACCTTACCCCATTAGTTTGGAGAAAAAAAAAGCGTGTTGCATACGGAGTAGAAGCACTTTTTTGTGCTTCAGCAGTATTGCGAGCCTCACTACGTTCGGCTCGCAAACCTACTGCTTCAGCACAAAAAAGTAAAGCTTCTACTCCTAATACAACAATATACTATTTTTTAAATAATGAGTTTGACAAAAACAAATTTATGAAGAAATTAATGTGTTTGACAAAGATGAGTATCTCCATACAAATTTTATACTTTTTTAATTGAAATGTTCATTTTATCAATTGTTTTGATACATCATTCTATTAAGGAAGTTAAAAACTAACAAAGAACATAAAAAATCCAGATCCGTATTTAAAAGTATAAAGTTGATGATGTTGGTCCAAAGACGAAACGCCGGATTCCAAATTTGAGAACACCATATTGTAGAGGAGAAAAAGTGGCAATGTTGAAGTGTCATTTATTTTGAAGTATCGCTTCAAATAAGCACAGGAAAAAAAAAAATTGCAAAGTTTCGTTTTTTTTCCGAATACCTCCGGAAGTATTCGGAATTTTCCAGATTTCAAAACGGCATTTTGGTGAGGAAGAAACTGCGTAACTTTGTCCCAATTTGACCGAACCTGTATCTATTATGGATACCGAGATCCGCATACTTACTCGCGAATTTGTAACACGCTGTATATGGTGCAAACCATTTTAAAAATTATCCATTTACAATATCAAGGTTGAGTCATAAATAAATAACAAAATTTTTAAGCAAATAAAAGCCTAATTTGGAAAAAGTATCTATCTCACAACAAATTCTTTATTATTTGTCATCATCTTCCTGTTTTATTAAAACTTTTGTCTTTCACATCTGTCTGTGATGGTTTTTTTTCTGAATTCAAACACCCGGTATAGACCTATTTAAAAAAACTCTGATTCCGTAGGTGGCGCAGAGGAAATGCATGTTTCAAGTTTGATGAACAACTTTCAAGAGGGGTTGAAGATGTGTGACCCCAAAGCAGGACGACACTCCTTGAATGACAGTATTTTTCATTATTTATTGAAAAGTGCACTATTATCCCTTCATTCACCTAATCGAATACCTAATTGAAATAAAATGATCTTGAAGATTAAAAATGTTATGTTTGCTTATAACTATGTGAAAAACAAGCGTTTCCTCTGCGCCACCCTGTACAACTGCTCAATCAGAGTAATGTGTACAAGAAAGATAAAAAAACTGAATATTCTTTACACATTGCTTATGATAATATTTTTCTATTTGTTATAATTGCTGAAAAAAATTACTTTTGATATTTTGTTATTTTATTCTAACCCAATTAATATTTCTCGCGTTCACTTTTCCAAAGTTGTATCAAAACAGGTTTTTGAAACAGTATATTCTCGCGATGAACCCATGACGTCACATCAAAATTGGTCAAACCGTTTCGAAATAAAATGCAATCCACGTTTTAAAACCATTTTCTTGAGCCGAGAAGTTATGACGTCATGTGACATTGTTTTAAACCAGTTTTAAAAACGTTTTAAAACATTTGACATGTGAGAAAACACCTATAGTCTTTACACAATCCTTACACAATCACTCACAATAATGACAGAATCAGTCACAATCCCTCACAATCAGTCACAATCCTTATACAATCATTCACAATCGTACACAATCACTCACAATCGTACATAATCGCTCACAATCTTAGCAAATTTCCTTAGAGATTGTGGAATTTGGCAGTCGGTGTACACATTTTGGGTCAGCTATTCACCCCTCGATGTTTACTATGTCAAATAGTTCATTTTTCTAACATACAATCACCACCAAAATTTGAATGAAATTGCATTATTAATAACTGAGATATCGGGGTGTATTCATGAAAAGCAAGATACACTGTATATGATAATTTTGAAAATCAATCACTCAATAACTGATACAGACACTGGTGACACATAATAATTATAAAATCGTTTACACACCGATTATTATGACTACAAAAGTCAGAAGCAAGTTTCCCGCCAATTTCTTTGAATAGTTCTGATTGGTCAGCCTTGAAATTCCGCATTTGAACGAGGCTCCGACTTCGCAAAGTTAAGTGATTTCGCGGGATTGCCGGCGATTTCGCAAGGATTGCGCGCGATTTCGCAAAGATTGCGCCCGATTTCGCCTGATTTCGCAACGATTGCGCGCGATTTCGCATGATTGTGCAGGGATTTCGCGCGATTTGTGACAGTATTGCGCAGAGTGGTTTACCCCTCGCACATTTCAAAGCTTTCCTAGAAAACTAGTAAAGGGAAAATTTGGAAACTTCTGGCACGTAAAGAAGAAGGTGAAAAGCTCATTTTCCCAAAATTTCAGATTTTTCCAGTGGAAAATAACAACATGAGGAATATCGGAAATCAACCTACAATAACTGAATTAATTGAAAATATAGTATCACATAAGTATTTTAAAGTTTTCCTGGAAAACTAGTGAAGGGAAAATTTTGAAATTTTTTGCATGTAAAGAGGAAGGTGAGAAGCTCATTTTCCCACAATTTCAATTTTTTCCAGTAGAGAATAACAACATGAGAAATATTGGAAATCAACCTACAATAACTGAATTAATTAAAAATATAGTCTCAAACATTTCAAAGCTTTCCTGGAAAACTAGAGACGGGAAAATTTTGAAACTTTATGCATGTAAAGACGAAGATGAGAAGCTCATTTTCCCAAAATTTCAATTTTTTTCAGTAGAAAATAACAACATAAGGAATATTGGAAATCAACCTACAATAACTGAATTAATTGAAAATACAGTCTCACACGTTTTAAAGTTTTCCTGGAAAACTAGTGAAGGCAAAAATTTGAAACTTTTTGCATGTGAAGAGTTGAAAAGTTGAAGGCTCATTTTCCCAAAATTTCAAATTTTTCCAGTAGAAAATTACAACATGAGGAATCTTGGAAATCAACCCACAATAACTGAATTACCTAATTGAAAATACAGTCTCACATATTTGAAAGTTTTTCTAGAAAACTATAATGAAGGGAAAATTTTGAAACTTTTTGCATGTAAAGAGGAAAGTGAGAAGCTCATTTTCCCAAAATTTCAAAATTTTCCAGTGGAAAACAGCAATATGAAAAATCTTGGAAATCAACCTACAATAACTGAATTACCTAATTGAAAATACAGTCTCACACATTTCGAAGTTTTCCTGGAAAACTAGTGAAGGGAAAGTTTTGAAACTTTTTGCATGTAAAGAGGAAGGTGAGAACTCGGGTGAGAAGTTCATTTTCCCAAAATTTCATATTTTTCCAGTAGAAAATAACAATATGAGGAATATTGGAAATCAACCTACAATAAATGAATTAATTGAAAATACAGTATCACATATTTTAAAGTTTTCCTGGAAAACTAAGCAAGGGAAAATTTTGAAACTTTTTGCATGTAAAGAGGAAGCTAAGAAGCTCATTTTCCCAAAATTTCAAAATTTTCCAGTGAAAAATAACAACATGAGGAATATTGGAAATCAACCTACAATAAATGAATTAATTGAAAATACCGAGGAAAATACAGTATCACATATTTTAAAGTTTTCCTGGAAAACTAGACAAGGGAAAATTTTGAAATTTTTTGCATATAAAGAGGAAGGTGAGAAGCTCATTTTCCCAAAATTTCAAAATTTTCCAGTGAAAAATAACAACATGAGGAATATTGGAAATCAACCTACAATAACTGAATTAATTAAAAATATAGTCTCAAACATTTCAAAGTTTTCCTGGAAAACTAGAGAAGGGAAAATTTTGGAACTTTTGCATGTAGAGAGGAAGGTGAGAAGCTCATTTTGCCAAAATTTCAAATTTTTTCAGTGGAAAATAACAACATAAGGAATATTGGAAATCAACCTACAATAAGTAACTGAATTAAGTAATTGGAAATACAGTCTCACACATTTCAAAGTTTTCCTGGAAAACTAATGCAGGCAAAAATTTAAAACTTTTTGCATGTGAAGAGTAGAAAAGTTGAAGGCTCATTTTCCCAAAATATCAAATTTTTCTAGTGGAAAATAACAACATGAGGAATATTACTAATTAACCTACAATAACTGAATTAATTGAAAATACAGTCTCACATATTTTAAAGTTTTCCTTGAAAACTACAGAAGGGAAAATTTTGAAACTTTTTGCATGTGAAGAGGAAGCTAAGAAGCTCATTTTCCCAAAATTTCGAAATTTTCCAGTGGAAAACAGCAACATGAAAAATCTTGGAAATCAACCTACACAAACTGAATTAGTCGAGGAATTAGTTGAAAATACAGTCTCCCACATTTCAAAGTTTTCCTGGAAAACTAGTGGAGGGATAATGTTGAAACTTTTTGCGTGTAAAGAGAAAGGTGAGAAGATCATTTTTTCAAAATTTCAAATTTTTCCAGTGAAAAACAGTAACATGAAAAATTTTGGAAATCAACCTACAAAAACTGTATTCATTATTGTTTTGAATTTTTTAAATTTGACAATTTCTTTTAAATTCCTTATAAATTCCTCACAAATTCTCCCAAATTTTCCATAAATTCCTCCAAATTCCCTATAAATTCCCCAAATTCTCATAAATTCGGATGAGTTCCTACAAATTCCCCACAAATTCCTCTAAACTCCCTACATTTTTGTCAAAGAATTCCTAGGTGGTTTGCTCCTTGCACTTATTGGAATGTCTAGTTAACATATACATTATAATCCTTTTGTAGTGCATGTGAGAATAATTCAACTTATCCACAGACAAGATTATTTTTGAAAGGGCTTTCTTATATTTCTTTTTATTTACTTCGGTACCTTCAACGACTTTGCACAGATCATCTCATTCCTAAAGTGCCTTCAAACTAAAACCCTTTTATTTCTGGGATAACATAGCAAACGCTCTCACTACTTAACATGACAAATTCAACTATGAAAACTAACTAACTGATATATGTTTTACATAATAGTATTCTAAACTAAGACTTATTTTGTATTCTAAATACTACAATTTTTTTTTTCAGGGATTTACAAGGCGAATCTTTCAATCACCAAGGAGTTTCCATTACCTACCATCCAACGAATTTGAAAAAGTGGCGCTCTGCCCCCGTAGTGCTTCCAGTACCGGGACAACCGGGCGAAAACGGCAAAGCGGTGCACATTCCTCCCGAACAAGAGGAACTGATGAAGGAAAAATTCAAATTGAACCAATTCAATTTGCTAGCCAGCGATATGATTTCTCTGAATCGGTCCTTGCAAGATGTACGATTAGATGGGTAAGAATTTTATGTGTGAATATAGTTTCACTTTCTCAATAAAAACCAAACAATAATTATTTAAACCAAGTGGCCATGGAAATATGTAATTATTTTTTTCGTAACAAATTACTATAGTTGCAAAAATCCAGTGCGGTCACGCTTTTTAGATTGACAATTATTAATTTTCTTGTTTCAGTTGCAGAAGCAAAGTTTATCCCAGGCTTCTGCCCACCACTTCCATAGTCATAGTTTTTCACAATGAGGCTTGGAGCACTCTTTTGAGGACGGTTTGGAGTGTGATAAATCGATCCCCGAAGGCTTTGTTAAAGGAAATTATACTTGTGGATGATGCTAGTGAAAGAGGTAAATAATAATTTAATTTTGGGTACATTGTATTTTATTTTAATGAGGTAGGTAACTTATAATTGATTATTTAGTTTTCAAATTTTGAACTGTATCAATGGTAAGCAAGCTAAAACTCTCAGCGAATCTAAGAATGTGGTTCTAGTAAAGGCCTACAAGGCTTGCTTATTTATGGTTCCTTTTTGAATTGAACATTGTCAGATATTCAAAACATTTACTTGTCAATACAGGAATTTGCAACACTGCTATTATTTATTTTCCAGATTATTTGGGTAAAAAACTCGAAGAATACGTAAAAGACTTGCCAGTACCCGTATACGTTCTGCGAACCGAAAAACGATCCGGATTAATCAGAGCCCGATTACTAGGAGCTGAAAAAGTGACTGGACAAGTAAAATTTCCATTAAACTCCAAGCCTCTTTTATTCCAAACATATTTTGTTTTAGGTTATCACTTTTCTAGACGCCCACTGTGAGTGTACAGAAGGTTGGCTGGAACCGCTTCTGGCCCGAATAGTGGAAAACCGAAAAACCGTAGTCTGTCCAATAATAGACGTGATTTCCGATGAAAGTTTCGAGTATATCACCGCTTCAGACATGACGTGGGGCGGCTTCAATTGGAAATTAAACTTCAGATGGTACCGGGTATCGCAAAGAGAAATGGATAGACGAAAAGGGGACAGGACGGCACCTTTAAGAACCCCGACAATGGCCGGAGGCCTATTTTCAATAGACAAAGATTATTTCTATGAAATTGGCTCATACGATGAAGGAATGGACATATGGGGTGGTGAGAATTTAGAGATGAGCTTTAGGGTAAGATATCAAGTTTTTGTTTTTGAAACATTTTTCAGTGAATTTGCCACTTAGGTTTGGCAATGCGGCGGCGTACTAGAAATATCTACGTGTTCGCACGTTGGTCACGTATTTCGTGGCACTTCACCCTATTCTTTCCCGGGGGGCGTCTCTAACATAATTCTAAAAAACACCGCCAGGGTCGCCGAAGTCTGGATGGATCAGTGGAAAGACTTTTATTATGTCATGACACCAGGTTTGACTGAATTTTTTTGGTCATTTTTTGCAAAAGCTTTTTGAAGGTTCCACGTTATTTGGCGAATTGTGGCGGTTGTGTATCGAAACGCTTTTGTCGGTCAAAGATGTTTGTTTTTTTGTTTGTCACCCAGCCTTAACATTGATTGTGTTTTATTTTATTTATTATTATTTTTTTTTTTATTTGCGAATTATTGTGCAGAGTTTTAGGGTTTTTTTGAATACCCTTGTGTGGGTTTTCTTATTGATTGACGGCTAAAATTTGTTTATTTAATGAGGCCCACTGTTTGAGTCATAATAATTCAACCTGGTTCAAAATTACTTTAGTGATTTTTGCACGGGCAATCAATAGCTCAAAATACTTCAAGTTTTGCTTAGTACCGGCTCTTGAAAGTTTTTCGAGAGGAAATAGAAAAATTAAGTATAGGAAATCAAACATTAGAGACATATTTTTTAATTGAAATTATTCTGGAACGGATTTTGATTGAAAATTGGACTATAGAAGTAAATCGTGATTTTCGGCCAATTTGTAGCCGAGTCAGGGCATTTTAAAACTCTGATTTAGAGCTGAAATTCAGTTAGAGAAGGTTGAAAATCCTATAACCAGCTCTCCTTAATTGAGGCCAGAGTTACCCAACTCCTTAATTCTTAATATTTGTCCTTAATTCTTAATTCTTAAAAAGTTCAATTTATTTAACATTGGTGTTTTTAAGGATTAAGAATTAAGAACAAAAATTAGGAATTAAGGAATTGGATAACCCCGGCCTAAAATGATGAAATTTCAAATTTTTTTATGTTCAGATTTTGTGTCTAAATGATCATTGGGGACCCCAAAACTACATACACTCAACTATTCTGAGATTTGAAGCTGAAATCTATAAAGAAAGACACTCAGAAAATTGATAAATTCACCCCAAATTGCTTAACGCGATTTTATATATGGAAATATAAGTCCAAATGAGCTGAAATCTTCAGGGATTGTAGTCCTCCACTGAGATAAGAATTGCTGTAAATTTCAGCTTTCTATCTATAATAGAAAAAAGTTATGGGTTTTCAAAGTTTCAACAACAAAAAATTATACATATACTTATGATTTAGATTTTCGAAAACTTTGGAAGGTCATACCTTTTTTTCTATTATAGATAGAAAGCTGAAATTTGGGGGGGACTTTAATCCCTGAAAATTTCAGGTCATTTGCACGTATAGTTTCTGAGATAAAATCATGTTAAGCAATTTGGGGTGATTTATCAATTTTTCAATTTTTCTGAGTGCCTTTTTTCATAGATTTTGGCTTCAAATCTGAGAATAATTTAGTGTATGGAGTTTGGGGAATGTTAATTGGCCAGTAGGACATAAAATCTCAACAAAAAAAAATTTGAAATTTCATCGTTTTAGTTTAGTTTTTGTAAGAAGGAACCTTATGATTTAGATTTTGGAAAACTTTGGAAGGGCATAACTTTTTTTCTATTATAGATAGAACGCTGAAATTTGCACTGAATCTCATCTCAATCAAGATATTACAATTCCTGAAAATTTCAGCTCATTTACACTTATAGTTCTTGAGATAAAATCCTGTTAAGCAAGCAATTTGGGGTGATTTATCATTTTTTCAATTTTTCTGAGTGCCTTTTTTCATAGATTTTGGCTTCAAATCTCAGAATAATTTAATGTATGGAGTTTGGGGGATCCCAAATGACCATTAAGAGACAAAATCTCAAAAAAAAAAAATTTGAACTGGAGAAGCAAGAGTTCGACAAATTTTAGGTTTTAAAGACCACGAATGCTCGACTTTATATATGAAGGCTCAAGACTAGAGAATACACAAAATCCAGCATTCAAAAAGTCTTATAAGGCCGAGGGGGTAACAACTGGACCAAAATTTGTACATGTATTGCGCATTTTTTTTTGAAGTAATTCCGTTAATTCCAGGGTAATACCTACCATTGTACTGCTATCATGATGGAAGTAATTTCATGTAATGCCATTACGGCAATGCATACCCGAGTGTATACCTATATTAGGCTACATGCAATAGTTTTACGTAACTGTACCAGAAAAATAAACCATTATAGTTGAAAACAAACAACACATCCCATAGTTTGTACATTCATCATTATTCTATAGGTACTTACGTACTTATTTTTCTGAGGCCCGGCTTATTCAATTTGCTGGTAACTCTGCAAGATAAATTCATCGTTCTATAATTCTATTGGTCGATGGATAACTGGCCAACCATTGCGATGTCAGATTGCATACCTGACAGTTTATCAGAAGGCGAATAAATCGGTCCTAAATTTGAATAACTCGTACCTAATTTATTCTACAAATTAACCTTGGCTTTAAGTTCTTAATTCCTACTGTTAAACATTGGCTTTTCTATATTTTAAGCAATTTTATTATTATTATTATTTTTTTAATTCAGTGGCGCCCTTGCCATTCTGTACTGCTTAAACTATCAACCCACACCTAATAATTTTCCGCTGAGCAAACCGAGCATATTATGAGCCTCTTGTTAATTCATTAACAAAAGGGGTTACACAAATTGGCGCCCAACGTGGGGCTAGTTGAAAATGAATCCCTTAAGAAAAACAGCCTCAAAAATAGGCCCACGGTAGAACCCACGACCCTTAGGTTAAGAGCGTAATGCTCGGCCACAAAGAAACCTACTTGCTGGTTTCGCTATGTAGATGACAAATTTGTTGTTTGGAACTATGAACAGACAAAAATATAAATAATTTCACATACACAGGGTGAGCCAGAAGAAAGTTGCAGTAGAATATACAGGTATTTATTTGAAATGGGATACCCTATACAGGGTGTATATTTTGAGTGATACCACTATTGCTATATCCGAAACGGTAAAAGATACAAGGTTGGTTAAATTAAAAAAAAGTTGTCTTTTTTGATGTCCATTTAAGACTGGTCTACAGTGTTGCCAAATTCCTTTTAGTTTATAAAATACAGGGTGATTTCTAAAAAACGCCTAAAAATATTTCATCAATTATTTCGAAAACTATTTATTTTCGGAACACAATTTAAATTTGAAAGTTTTGTAATTTTTTTCGCTCTACAACATGGCATTTTCAAATTTTTAATCCGACGTTTCTTCATTGAGTTGCCATCATCAAATTAATTTTTTTTAAATACGGACCTGCATTTTTTATGTGATTTTTAGAAAGCACCCTTCATTCCCTTTTTAACGATATACCTCTTAAATATAATTGGTCGACGTTTCTGATTCAAAAAGTGATCATCAGTGATTTTTACTAAAAGTTCACCTTAATTCGGCCTTAGTTATGAACCTGCAATTCAGAAACCAAAAAGAATTTGGCAACAGTCTGAACGAATCTGAGATGGGCATCAAAAAAGGCAAATTTTTTATAATTTAACCGACCTTATATCTCTTACCATTTTGGATATAGCAATAGTGGTATTTATCACTCAAATTATACACCCTATATATTGGTTCATGTTCATATATGCTTTTACTAAGGGGCAAATTAGTCATGGAAATAACTGTATGTACATTTTGCTGGGAATACCTATAGGAATACTTGGTAATATTTAGGAAATACCTAAGAATACTTGGAAATCCTTGGAATATGCTGGAAGTATATGGGAATAATCTGGAAGTACATGGGAATAATTTGAAAGTATTTGTAAATTTCTCTAACTTCCAACCCCACTTTTAACGTATTTTTGGGTATTTCCATTGAAATCTCAAGAATGTTCGTTCTAACTCTGTGTTCCACTTTGTTCTGGTTAAGTGTTCCAATTTTTTTTGGTCAACTGTTCAAGTTAGCCTAATTTTGAGGCAACTGAAACAGTGACCCCTATTTTCTTACGTATTCACGTGGTAATAATTCTGAGGCGACTGGAACACATTGTACCGTATATGTATGTAAAGATCCTACCAAATTTTGTTTTTTTTTTTTGACTCAAGAATTATGGGAATCATGGGAGATGCAACAGAAGTATTACTTAGTGGTGGGAAAATAGGGTTTAATGAAAATGGTAAAATGAACGAAAAATAAAATTTTCTTTGTAAGTAATCCATATCTCCATTTCTGCATGGTGTTCAGCACAGTTGACAGTTCTTTTTCATTCATATATTTTTTCACCTACTTATCCTGCTACCGGTCCGACAATATACTTCATCCTCTTGTTCCAAATACAAAGAGTCTTATTGTGGATCTTGGAATATTATAGAAAACGCCTACTGTTGTAGCATTTTAGACATCTTCAATTGGGTTTTTTCCGGCCAACTTAGTGTATCTTGCATATTTGCTCTACTTAGAACAAACGAGTAATTTCAGGTGGAACATATGTTCCAGTTGACCATATCATATACGTTCTAGTTGCCTCTGTATTTATTTTTACTGGGGCAACTGGAACCAAAGCTGTGTTTCCATTACTTGAAATTCTAAGCTAAGAATCGACTTAATAAACCGTCAGATAGTGACATATTTAGGTGCCACATTTTCGCATACAAGCCTCGAAAAAGGTTGAAAAGTACATCGATTTTGAGTAGGATGCAGGTATTTTTACGAGTGGCTCCTGGTGAAAAGTCACTTTCACTGAATTTTATCCCTTTCAAAAAACTACAATCCCTGATTTCGGCTTCAAATCTGAGAATAATTTAGTGTTTGGAGTTTAGGCTATGTCGATTGACCATTAGGATACAAAATTTCGACAAAAAAAGATTTTTTTTTTAAAAGTATTTTGATAAGTTATACATAAAATCCACGACTTTCAAGGCTCATTATTGATGACTGTTGAAAATAACATTAAGAGTATAAAGGAGTATTGAAACCTCTTAAAGAATTGGAAGATTTAAAACACTAGAGATTTTGATAGTGGACTAAAACTGATTGGGACTAAAATCTTGAATATTGTTGGTAATTCAGCAAAATCAGACTTTACTAATATACAGGGTGTCAATTTGAAAACTTCCCACCCCTATTATCTAAGAGTAGAAAATTTTTCGAATAAATCCATGAA